GCATCGAAATTCTCAACAAAAATATCCACTAAATAATATTCACTAATAAAAGTGTAAAACATTTGAAAAACAAAATTTTGTATACTTAGTCACAGAGCACTCCTTAAGTGGTATTAGTTTGAAAATATTTTCTTTGAGTATCTAGATTTAAAGGTTCTGAAACCAGATTTCAAATAAAGTCTACCGAAAAGAAAAAAAGGGCTCTGTGTATACTGTACATGGATACTGTACTTAAATATTATATAGGTAAATAGGTAATATAAAAATAAAATATAAATATAGCATTATGCAGATGCATATTCTTTATATTTTTTGAGTAGCTTATGTGAAGATATAAATAATAAAAATGTATCATACTTTTGCAGCACTCACGGTGCATTTACCAAAGTTAAAAATTTTTAGTCAAAATTCTAACTACAAACGCTCATAAAAAGTTAGATAAGTTTAGATAAATAAATTAAAAAGTCTATACTTTTAAATAAAAAACTTTCCAAATGTTTACAAACACTAAAAAATAAATTACTACAAAGAGTGTATGCTAATAAAATTTGAAAATAGCTTAAGAGTCAAAATATTTAAAAAATCATAAGCTGTTATGAAAACACAGATCAAAATATTAGGTGAAAATGTCATGTATAAGAATATTTTTTTAGCTACACCAAAAAACAAGAACGGTTTTATTGAAAACTGATTGCAATTTTTTTTTTGTTTCGGCACTTCACAATTTCAGCAAATTTATCAAGTGAACAAAAATTGATCTACGTCTTATACAGTTATATGAATTAATAAAGTAAATTTAAAAAAATATTAAATTGGCCAAGGGTTTTATCAGTTTTCACGTAGGAATAATGAGTCAAAACTAAGTTCACTGACCACAGTAGTCGTTATGCCAATTGTTGACTCCTAGCCATCAGATAAAACTTTTGAAAACATATTATTTGAATTTGTCTTGAAGTTTGTCACTTTTTTAAATTGAACACCTCAACCCTTCAAAATAATTTTATTATTAAGAAATTAAAGTGTTAAAAATATTAAAAATTGAATTAAAAAATGTAAGAATGTAGTTCTCAAGTAAATTTTATGACAAATTCAAATATGTTTTTCAGACATTTTATTTTTATTGATAGGTTGGTTAATATGATTTTGCAAAAATGCAAATTTACAAAAAAAACCAAATTAACTAATTTTTGTGTTAACGCATTATTGATGTGGAAGTTTAAGTGTGAGAGCGTTCTGCTATTTATTTTATGATCTGTTGTGTATCATTAATGTGAATAATAACGCAAACGTAAATTATAGTCTTTTATTGTCAAACATATAAATCGTAATGTCGTATAATGAAATTATGTGCTGGCTACTGACCGATGGACAATCCCCACCGATCGTAATATGATACTTATTATTATTAATGGTTAAACACTACGTTTCTTATATTATATAAATGCTGAATATGCAACATGAATCATGATCATTCATACCACTGCTTACGTACGCATTTACACATCAAATTGCTTATATTGAACTCCATAAAAACGGCCGGGGTCGAATCCTTTTGACACAAACAACTAGTAGATAGATTCACAAGAATGCTTGAAAGCAGACCAATATCATTGAATCCACTATCGTTAGATTTTATTATTATTTGACTTTATGTGTGATCATAAAAATTATGTTTAGACTTAAGCAAGTAAATCGTGATTGCAAATTTAAAAAAACTATCATTGGAATTGTGTTTATAATTAGTATGATTTTCCATCATTATTTTATCGTTAGATATAATAACATGTAAATAAAAATATTTGTAAAATTATGATTATTTATTAATTTGTTTTTAGTGTATCAATATTACAATACACAAAATTAATTATTAATGAAATATATTTTTTTACCATTTATTATTACCGCTATATTTAATTCAAATTATTTGTAGAATCATTATTAATTTTTTAACATATTAATGTAAATTATACTACAATAATACCTGTACTAAATTTATTACCAATAGTTTTTTCTGGGATATTTTTTATGTAGACTTTTTTTTCGATACTTATTTCTCGATAGTTATATATTTTATTTAAATGTATTTTTATTTACAAAAACCGTGTTTTTAATTTTTAAAAACAAATTACTTGCATCAAAAGACAATTATATTTTATTATAATATAGGAAAAAAAATTGAAGTCACTAGATTACCTGTGTTTTGGTCTGAGTTTTATCTAAAAAAAACAAAACAATATTGGTTTTTATATAACAACGTATATCATAACATTGTTTTCACACTACACTTAACAAGTTTAAATATATTTGATAATTGATAGGTATGAGTACGTCCAGCGTATAATTCAAAAACGCTCAAATTTCTCACTTACCTTAGTATTTTATATACGAGGACTAGGATAATACTTATTAATTACTTGCAATTATTTGCAACAGAACACTGATGAATTCATCACCAATAGTTTTTTATGCTTTAAAATTTTAAGACTAAATGAATCGATACAAATCAATCATCGAAATAATCGGCTAAAATTGTTTGTATTTTGTCACTAAATACAAATACAGTAAAAAAACAATGGAAAAATCACGAAAAAAGATAAACGTCAGCTGATAACGTTTTGGTGGACGCCGGATCGCAGTCTAGGCCGCGTCGGCGTTATGTACCAGCAGTTATAACAGTAGGCAGTAGCGATAACGTCGTAACGAAAAGTAGTTCTCGAACTAACTATACCGATAACTGCAGATCTCAGCTGCTATAGACATTACAGTACTAACACTACATACCTATACTACAACCACGATTATAGATAGTATACTATCTATATTCATGACCACAACTTTACTAGGGTAACTATTGCCCATAGGCTCATGAGGATGTCGGCTCAATATATTTTGTTTTCTCTCTCAGACCCACACACAACATAGATAAAACGCTTTCACCTAAAATCGTTTTTTTATGATTTTCGACTAAGCGACTTACCTTAGAGTGAAATCACCTGTTACAAAATTATAGAGGATAATATTTTTGAGGGTATGACATATTGATCTCATGTTTTATTATTATTTGACTTCGCATTCGACTTACAAAATTAAAATTGTAAATTGTAAATTTAAATCAGATTTTAACCGTTTTGAGATAATATTTAGACAAATCTATCTGTCATTCCCTAAAAATATTATTTTATAATTATTTTTTTATAGGTGATCACTAAGCTAACTCAGAACCATGAAAAAAATGATTCTGCGTAAACAAACAGTGCCCTGACATCTTCTAAATATATCACTTGACATGCATAATGTGTATGTCGACAGTATTATAGGCGGCGGTAAACATCTGACTGTGATGTAGGTTGTCTTGACAACAAAATACAATAGTTTTTTTATCTAAATATCTTCCCGCACTATCCCGTCTACCGTATATAGTATATCTGTGGTTGTTGTACACATTACTTGTCTAGCAGTATAATATTAAGACCTATGCTTCAAACTCATTATATTGCACAGATGTTTACTATATATATCTGTGTTATATTGTGTTATTTTCGGGGTCCAACATATTGAGTAAATATTAAAAATATAAAGTAACATAATATATGGATAAGAAAAAAAAATATTACATAGATAAAAAATTTAGGGCTTTTGCTTACATATGTGTATAGTATATTGGTATGATTGTATAATATATTTAATGTATGTATATATATTGTCAGATACAAGATATAGATATACCCACTACCCACAGATATATAAACATATATCTGTGGATATACCACAGAACAATGAGTATACTTAATACCACGATTATAGATAGTATACTATCTATAATACTTAATACTTAATACTTGCTTAATACTTATTTGGCCTCAATTCGTATAATTTCATTCACCCCTGATAAAACGTTATATGTTCGATCCATTTATTTTTTATCTATGTTTAGGACTATCGTATCGCTCTCCAATTACGTTGCTCCAAAAGTGTTTGTGAAGACAGTGAGTACTGAGTATGTCATATCCTCATTCCTCATATTATTATTTACTATCAATGAACAAACTTGTATTACTATTTACTAAACGGCATATTCTGCACAAACTACGTGTGCACAAGGTTAGGAAATATTACAATAATTACTATCAAATATCAATAAACGAATGAATGGCGCAAAACGTTTAGAAGCACGAATGCAGTCTGCTGTTCGTCGTAAGGTCGTTGCGCTTAGCGAGTTAGTGAACAAAAAATTACGACCGGCGAACTTAACTGTTCTCACACTCGTAAATCAGCTGCTGGAAGTGGGTCCAAAACGTGATTAATGCATGTTTAGTGTTTACAAAACGACGATTATCTATAAATTTAACATTGAAATAAAATACACAAAAGCCTTAAACATAGTCTGACAGTCCCTCGGGATGATCATCAGTAATACTCCAACGTACAACTGTACAGAAATCTAGGTGGAAAAAGCGGTCATGCTATTCGTTATCACTTACCGCGTCGTACTATACGCCTAATTGTGTATAAACGAGTATAGATGAAAATCGTTTATCTAAATTACCTAGCGCTTGGTTTGAGCAAAAAACGGTATTTGCGGATCTTACTATTAAAATAGTAGTAGTAAGCATATTTTTAAATGTTTTTTTTACTATTATTTTAGACACTCAAAAGTATGTAAATTTATTATAACCTTACCTACCTATGTAAATTTGCGTAAAAAATTACTAATTAGGCATGTCCCGCGGGGTCGTTTGGTAACCAAATCTGCCATGTGTCCAAGGTAATGATTGGCTATCAATTGTTTTAAAAACATTTTTTGTTTCTTGAAAGATGAAATCGCAACACACGACCACTTACTGTATATTGTACACTAAAAATGTTCTGTTTTTTTGTTATATCCTAAATAAACCTTATAAGCTTCTAACCTTCTAACCGTGACTTTAACATACATTCTTATTGTAATTGCATATCTTCACAAAACATTAAGTGGAAATAAATGGGTCAACCACAGTTTATAAATTAGGAAACACTTTATGTATATTAATTTATATCATTATTTGTATCAAGTCAAGTTGTGTAAGTCATAAAATATTATAAAAAAAATCATGTATAATAGTATATGTATTGATACATTATGAAAATTATCATAAAAAAAAAATGATTACATATGTTTTATAAATGAATAGCATAATAATATACTGTAATAAATCAAAAAGGAAAAAAATCATTGGCACTCTTATTTTCTTGCTCGTGTCTCTAGAAAAACATTAAATTAAAAATTAATAATCATAATATAATAGGTAGGTATTAATACATAATTTATTAATATATTATTAAATAAATAAGTGTGGGCGTTGAGAGTACACGTGAGTAAAGTGAAACTTCTTTTGGTGTGGAAATCAAATTGATAACAAGTATAGGTAAGTAAAGCGAATAATGTACTTTATTTGAAATACTAAGTAGTTATTATTTGCTTTTAATCCAGGTACATTTTCAATCGGTCAGTAGACCATCGCAGGAAAATTCGGAAAATTAATGGACTTAAATAGTTTTGGATTCTTAAAAACGAAAATGTATTATTATTAATTAAATAGCTGATTAGGTGACGTGATAAATCTGTCATGACAATAAAATAATAAACTGTTGTATCTACATCATCGCTCCTCATTAAAGAAAACACAGTTGTATTGTATACACTATAATGTAATAGGTATACCTAATTGTTATTATTATTATTATTATTATTATTATTATTATTATTATTATTATTATTAAAATATACTAACCACGCTATTGGTCTTGGTTTTGGCTTATGACGGGGTAGTAGTTCAGCTGATTTTTATTTTTCTTAGCCTCAGCCTCGTAATAATCGATGACCATAGTGGGCTTGTACGTACGCATCAAACTCGACTCGATTGGCCTCCAGAGTTGGGGGTCTTGTCTCCAATTCACTTTGTACATAATGTTATCCAAACTATCAAAACAATGGCCGACAACCGCTACGGGTTCATAGTTCCGGTTAAAACCGTTGAACGTAATGCCTTGCGTAAAAGGTGTGTTTGGTACGTTTCCCTGTGCACTGTGGGGAGTAAAAATCGTGATTAGTCGTGTATACAGTATGATAATGATGATGATTTGTAAGATTTTCAAAAAGGAAATTTCGATACGTATCAATACGTTCCGCCGGTATGTTGCACGCATGTAACGCTAGGGTTTTATAATGTCCTTGAAAAATTAGAGCGGGTGCCCGGAGTACCTGCCGGCTGCCACCCAATAACCACAGCTGCGCAATGGCGGACAACGACAGCGACGAGAACGAAAAAAAAGACGAACACGTGCGCAACATACGTCCCCGGGGCCCAACCATTGACATTCGAAAAAATTATGATGCGCATTTGTTTATTAACGTTGTTTTGTTTATTAACATCGTCATGGTTGTTATCCATTAAAATAAGCTATACTATTGATGTTAGACCGTACCTTAGGGGTTGCCTTGAACGTCCACGGTTATTAGAATTCACGCCCGAACGTCCTGTATTTTGCCTTCTAGCCACGTTCCTCCTCGTTTGGGAGCGGACAGTACTGATTTCCGGTGGAGTGAAGTATGATCCAGATTGCATACTGTCATAACGTGGATACAATGGAGGAATGTAGCGGGATGATCCCCCCTCATATCTCGTATAAGTTCCGTAAAACATTTCCTGTTCATCGAAATCTGGAAGGTGATCTTCATTATACTCTGAGTCATCATTATTGGATCCTTCTTCGGATCCTTCGTCGGATCCTTCGTCGGATTCTTCGTCGGGTTCTTCGTCGAGTTCTTCGTCGGGTTCTTCGTCGGGTTCTTCGTCACCTTCTTCTTCATTTTCTTCGTCATTACGATGAATTCCCAATTCATCGTCAGACAATGATTCACCGTTAAATTTCTTCGGGCATTTGAAGTTTCTCATGATCAATGGTTGACGTGAAGAAATCCGGGAATTGAGAATGCGACGAAACGGTAGGGTCGAAAGGCACGACGGTAGAACACAAATTCACTGACAACGCTAACAGTCAACAATCAGCAACGACAAGCACCAAACGACTAATATTTTCCTAGTTTCGATGCCGAGCGCTGTTCGATGGCAGCCCCGGACCAACAGCGCCGAAACTTGGGCGTCGGCAATGTTCGGTAGTGGTCGTGACAGCGTCGCGGCGGCAGCCACATCGCTGGTCACGAGAGGTCCAATGAAACGTCACTGCCGCCACCACCGCGACCCTACCGCCGCAGCTGCAGGTAACGGATTTACACACACAACGATAGTAATATTATACACAAACAAAGTATCATAAAAACGGTAATCATGAGATTATTCCATTTATCGATAAAAAAAAAATGTTTATCGTTCGTCACGTACGCCATACTATTATTGTTATGATCTCGGTGGTCATCGTATAATATTCATTGTTATTAATATTATTCTACAGCTGCTAAATTTCCAAGTATAATATACTGCCTTTTTAGTTTTATCTATAGTAGTTTGTCGTTTCGACTGATAAAATGTTTTTGTGAATTTTTATGTTTCGAAATGACTCGACTGTCATCTTTTACTTAGGATAGTTCGAAAACGATAATAATTAATTCCATCAGCTTGATTGGATGAGAAGGGAGCGTGCGCTCACCGGTATTGGAACTGGTAACATTTAACGAGGACGTTTACCAGCGCGTGTCGTCTCCGCGGTCTTACATAATACTGACAACATACCAAATTTTCATTAAGCTGTAGTTCCAATGTGTTATGTTGGCTTTAATATTATGTTAGAGAGTGCCCCCTCCCCACATAACATTTTGGGCACTATAAGTTTGATAATATTATGAGATCAATTCACTCTAATAAAATCACTCTATAATCGTTACAACACACAATTGTAACTGCGGAACGGAAATGTTGGTACCTATATTATTGTTTATATTATGTGTTAGTAAAACGAAGGTCGCAGACGGCGAGTCGCACGTGTGAGTACAACGATCTCGAAGATGTCAGCGTACCATTTGCTTTCTCTCTCCGACCCAAGCGCGACATACACATTTTTCGTTCAGGGAAAGTACCTTGTGTAGTTGGCTTTAGTATTAGGGTGAATCCACCTAATAGCAAGCTTTAATTTAAAAACATTATCGGTCGCCTTGGGTCAGTTTTTACGATATTTTGATTTGTAAGCATGTTGTAAGTATGTAAAATGTTACAATTAAAAAATTTCATACCTCGCTTTTATATTCTGATGAACGTAAATTTTCTATGTCACTCGTGGGTCATAGGGAGAAAACTAATATAATGCTTAAATCCTTTTAATAATATTATATAGCGAAACATACTTAGAAAAAAATGTTTGCCGATTTTAAAAATGCATAGACTTAGCATAGAATTAACACTAATAAATACCTGTACATGAAAGTGTGTATACAAAAAATTAGTGAGCGATGTAGTTATACGAATAATATATTTTACGTAGTACAAGATGACATAGATGTTGAAAATATGATAATATTAATATAGAGTCATTAGTTTTTTAAATACATATCTTATTGCATTTCTTGATTACATATCTGTTATATATTATCAGTTTAAGAAAATAAAGAGAGGATGTAGCCGCTTCCACCCTTCAGTCTTTATGTTAAATTATTTATATTATTATTTATTTTATTTTAAAACGATTCTAATATTGCTCTTTTCTGATTGACATATATTATAATATTATAGTGATTTCTAATCTTTATTAGCAAAAATAATATTACTAATATTATCATAATTATATTACACTACATTGGTTATTCCCACATAACAGTCGTACAATAAAAACGAATAGTACATATTATATAAATAGTTTTAATTTGTTTACTGCTCGACAACATAATTGAAGTAGCATAAGTCACACATTTATATTATGTATTTATTATTATAGTACTACAATAGTTCTATGCATGAACTCCCAAATACTTTGTGTCTCGAATAATCAAAGACGAAAGCCGACAAAATTATATACCGATGGAGAGTCGGGGAGATGACTCATACGGCTATACAACTATACCAGTGGTGCAAAAACTACAGTTTCTAGTCCAAAATTGGCTCACTAAAATATACTAAAATATACTCAACTCAATGCTCAAGGTAAGTCATATTTTTCTCGCTGTTAAAAAGAAATAAAAAAAATACGATAAATATAAAATGTATTCATCTTTTTTACATTTTTATACTTACTTTCCCTTCCATACACATTAATTTAAGTTCTCAAACTCCCGGTCCATATATATAACGATGACATGCCTGTTGGCTGTTATCGCCCGTAAATTGTCATCTGTATATTAATATAATGTTAATTGATATGTAATCTCTCGAACGAATCGGTATCGAGAACGTTAAAAATTAAAAACTAAGGTCAAGGCTATACAAAGATAATTCCGCCGAGTTTTCCAAGGGCCATAGCTCATCTTAATTTAAAACAATGTAAAATTAGGAGTTAGCGTTTTTATTACTTCGCTGTTCGTTCGCAAAACTCAAGCCGATCGGCGTTTTCAGCCGTGGACGGAACGCGGCGTATTACGTCCGTCGTGTGTAGCTAATCCGATATAAAATAATGCATTTTGAATTCGGCGGAAAAAGCAGCGGAATAAGCATTGTATAGCCCAGACCTTAAGCATAGATACAGATGTATACATACATAATAATAATTATGTATTGTTATCCATATTACTCCTACCATTTAGAGTGGGTTCAAAGGCGTTTTCATCATCTGCAGCAGTGGCGCAGACAGGCGTTTTGTATGGGAAGAAGGATAGATAGATTTCTAGCAGGTCCGGTATAAACCGAGAGCATAATATACAAAAATATGCAAATCCTACAACTGCCGAGTGCCGAGTCTAAAATATATTATAATTATTCCATTATACCTACGCGTGACGTGTCTTTCAACGTTCTATGGCCATTGGCGGTGTGGATGTTATACAGCACTATACGATGGATTTTGGTCGGTTTGTGACAAATATAAGGACGTCCCGCGTTGTGTTTTCTCTGTCTTACTAACACATAACACATTAAAACATACGTCACCAGCAGTTTCAGTTTTGTGTTGTTAGCTTTACCATTAAAGTGAACGATTTATTATCAAACTTCTTGGTAAGAACATTATCAGTGTTCTGTGCTTTTTACGATGTTTAAGTTTTCAAGCAAATTATTATAATAAGTACGCGTTACAATATTTAAAAATGCTCATAACTCGTTTAAAAATTAAAATATCATAAAATCTGTTCAATGTTTAAAAGCAGACAATTTATTTTCCTTTAAGTTTGATTATAGGTCTATTCACTCTAACATTAAACCTAACAACATAAAATCGGAAACTTGAATCTCTTGAACATACATACATACATAGACATATTATGAATTATGATTATAGATGACAATAAATGGACATGGACTGATAACAGAGAAAGAGATCCGGGGGCCAATATTGTTAGAAAAAGATAGCATACAACTAAGGGAACCATTTATGCAAATTAATAGTGAGAGAGAAAAACAGTTCAATAACAAAGATAAAAACATTTTCAGAAAAAGATAGCTTTAGGGCTCTTCAAATTACAACAGCTGTTATTGACTATCTCTTTCTAACAATGTTGGCTCTTGGAAATATAAAGCTTGTAAGGGGACTCGTAGTTCATAATATATTGATATGTATATACACTATATAGTTATGTTATATGATGCGTAGTAGTAAGACGGAGACAACACAATGCGTCCATTCGGGTACGACGTCCTTTCATGTATTTTAATATTGTTGCTTTTGACAGCAATAAACAAAATAATTAATTATCGTATAACGCAATTAATGACGTGTGTTTGATCACTCTGCTATTTATTTTACAATCACGCTATCGATACAAAAATTTTTTTATTGGAAAAAACTTACAGAAAGATAAAACACAGTTTATTGGTTATTAGTAGACCTAGGATTTGTATGACCTAAAAAATAGACAAAAATGCACTAAAAAAATATGCAAAAATGACCTAAAAACTATAAAAATGAACTTAAAAATGATCAAAAAATGTACTTAGATGAGCGAAAAAAATTCAATTTAAAAATAAATATTATTATTAATTATTATTTGTTCATTTTTATATTTAACCAAAAATGTAAAAATTTGTTTTAAGAAGTAAATTATACAAATATATTTAAATTTGAGTTGACTTGTGAGCTCAATTAATTATACTACTTTTTCGATTCATACCCACTTAGCCGAATCCTAATTCACCGAAAACTCAGTTTACCTACAAATATACCAGTTTTATAATATTTTTAATATTATTTTATTAATATAGTTTCAATTTTTCCAATTCGCTGACTGGTGACAATAATTTTATCGAAAACAGTTTTAACAGCAATATAGCAACTATGGTATGTTGTCGATATAAGTTCAAAGGTATATACTATTTTTATTCGGGTACTATAGGTACTAATTGAGATAACGTATACAACACATATTAAAAAAGATTTTAAATATACAAAAATTAGTTTGAATATTCAAAATGAAGGTAATATTTGTAAAAATGAGCTTAAAATTGCAATAAGATGCATTTAAGTTATTTAACACAATAAATGCAAAAAAATGCAAAATAAAAAATACACATTCTAAATATTGTTATATCACGAAACAAATTTAGTTTTTGGTTAGAAATGTATAGCAATTAAAGAAAAAAATGCAAAAGTCACCAAAAGCCTAGCACTAGTTATTACTTATTACCGATGGAAAAAACGTTTCCGTCAAAAGTAATATTGTGTCGCACTAAGTGTAAATAAAAGTTATAGATCCTATTGAATATCAATTATTACGAGCCAATAAGCAGCGACTGCGACTAACCGGCATATTCTATAATAATTACGCGATGGCTTACTATAAAATTAACTTATAATTAGAATAATAAGAATTGCATAAAAATAATAATATTGAAGTGAAAAAATGTGAGAAGGTCAATTTCGAGTAAATTTCATGACAAAATAAACATTTGTGTTAGAAATTGTATCCAATAAATTAGTTAGTTATTAT